GAGAGAGAGAGAGAGAGAGAGAGAGAGAGAGAGAGAGAGAGAGAGAGAGAGAGAGAGAGAGCGTGTGTGTGTGTGTGTGTGAGAGAGAGCGTGTGAGAGAGAGAGAGAAAGAGAGAGAGAGAGAGAGAGAGCATGTGAGAGAGAGAAAGAAAGAGAGAGAGAAAGAGAAAGAGAGAGAGAGATAGCGTGTGTGAGAGAGAGAGAGAAAGAGGAGAGCAGACGAGAGATGAGTAAGAGGAGTGGGAAATGTCACTGTGCTATGGCATAGCATACCACGCGCGCACATACCAACCATCACCGTATAGCATTCAGAATTCCACATTCATTAATTACTCCTCTTACCAGACGCATCTGAAGCCAATCTCATTCTTGGACAATTCAATATGCATATATTATAAACGAACAAAAAATACATAGCACAGTTAATCCTACGCTGTCAGCCGCACGCCGATAAACTATATTCACAGCTTTTTCACTAATATAAGTATATATATATATATATACATACATATATTATATATTATACTATACATAATATATATATATATATATATATATTTATATATATATTATATATATATATCGCAAGTATAAACGTGCACCACGCGAGAATCAATAAACTACGACGAAGCGCGAAGCCCCAATGTGCGATGCAGCGAGGAGGAATGCGTGAAAGAAACGTGATAAATTCGGCTAGCTTTTAGTCATCCACTTTTTCCAATAAACACACTCCGTCTGTCACACGCGGGTAAGCGATCAGGCTCAGACGAGAGGGAGAGTTTTTCTCGCCGCTCTCCGATTTCTCCCCTCGCGTTTATATCTGTTTTTTGTCATCGCTGGCTGCCTCCGCCGCGCAGCCTATATGGCTTCGTTTTCATCTCTCTCGTGTTATCTCGCACCTCATCTCGACGCGTTTATATATACGATGAATTCCATGTCTCGTAAAACTCCGGCTGCGGACGTGCGAGCGCATTCCTGCTCCTCGCGGCGCGTGCGAGGTTTTTGACGCGCGATCATCGTGACGCACGCGCGTCCGTCCACCCGCAACGACCGCGTCGAGCAGCGAAGGTTAGACGCTCACACGCACGCACGCACGCACGCACACACGCATGTACGCACGCACACACGCACGCACGCACGAGCACGCACGCACGCACGTACGCTCAGACGTACGTACGCACGCACACAAACATACACACACGCGCGCAAACACACACGCGCGCAAACACACACACACACATATGCCCCACACATACACACACACACACCACACACACACACAACACACACACAACACACACACACACACACACACACACACACACACACACACACACACACACATGCCCCCCCCCACACATACACACACACATTACACTGTCTCTCAGCACTACTCACGATGGCGCCGAGCTTGTCTTTCTGCGCCACCAGGAGGCGCAGCAGCTCGTCGTTCGTCTGCACCTGGCTGCGCGGATCTCTCGCTCCAGCTGGACACCTTCTCAGCAACGCCGGCGCCATTCTGCAACGACAGCGAGATGTACGCACGGCAGGGGCGTGTACAGGGGGGTCAGGGGTCCGGACCCCCCCCTGTCTGTGCAGAAACAGCATCTAAGGCGGTCTAATTTCAAAATGTTTCTGGGGGGGGCCCCAGACCACCCCTCCGCGTGCCTCGCAAGTTTAGGTTACGGTTAGACCCTGTACACGCCCCTGTATGGGGATAAACTCCCGCCAATATATATATATATATATATATATACTATATATACTATATAAAATATAATAGATAGAGAAATAGGCTGTCAAAATTTTATTTAACGCCGAGACTTTCGAGAACAACTATGTTCTCTTCGCTCAGCGACCCAACAGAAAGTTCGTTAAATAACAATGTCTGTTGTTGTCGCCTGACGAGATACTATGTTCGTCGGTCAAAAGCTCGCGTAATAAAATTTTGACAACTATTTCTATTTTTAAATGGATCTTATCTCTTCATGGGTGTCCGTGTGTTTTTACTTATATAAATATATATATATAGAAGTAAAAACAATATATAAATATATATATATATATAGAAGTAAAAACACACACGAACACCCATGTTTCAGCCGAAAGCCTGACGAAGAGATGTACGTCTTGAAATCTCGCTGATTAAAATTTAAACACCCTTTACCTATTTCTTGAATTTGTTGTATATATATATATAGGTCAGTGAACAGCAACTTGACATAGCATGTGACCTGGCATGTTGACCTAGTGCGCTTGACCTTGACCTACCTTGGTGGACAGCTGCGAGAAGATGACGTACCAGGTGACGAGGTTCCACAGAACAAACACCGTCGCCGCGATGAATGCAAAGCGCTTCTTCATGGCGCCGCCCGAGTCTGCAACGACACGCAACGCTGACACGTAACAATGACACGTAATAATGATATGCAACAATGATGCGTGATAGTCTGCAACGACACGCAACGCTGACACGTAACAATGACACGTAATAATGATATGCAACAATGATGCGTGATAGTCTGCAACGACACGCAACGCTGACACGTAACAATGACACGTAATAATGATATGCAACAATGATGCGTGATAGTCTGTAACGACACGCAACAATGATACATGGGAGTCTGCAAGAGAGAAGGAGATAGCGGGGAATGAAACAATGAGAGAGGCGGTGAGAGTGAAGACCAAGCAAAGGTGACAGAAAGGGGAGAGTGAGAGGGGGAAGCGATCTAGAGAGAAAGGAAGAGCGATGGAGAGGGAAAGGTGGCGAGCGAAAGAGAGAGTGGTGGTGTGTGAGAGAGAGAGAGAGAGAGAGAGAGAGAGAGAGAGAGAGAGAGAGAAGAGAAGTAAGAGAGAAAAGAATAAAGAGAATACAACGTACGACGACGAAGAACTAAACTCGTACGTAC